TACACTTACATTCCTTTTCACTTTGTCTAAGTTTGGCTGATGTTAATGTGGCTATTAGTTGTAATGCTTCTATATTCCTGACTTCAGTAGATATTCACTGTCATCCTATTGAGATAACCGTGTGGAATTGGTTAATGATAATTAAGAATGGGAGTTATATCTGAGTAAATTCTTGACCAAGGACAATGGCAAGGAGCTTGCCATTTTGAACTTCTGGTTTTGAAAAACAAGAGCAGATCATTCATGAATTCATTAGATTCTTGTATTTTCAGAGGGAAAGACCTACTTGATGGTATGACTAAAACCAAGTTGTTCAGCTACTCCCTATTTACTTCTTTAATTGGTTTCATTTGGAAAGAAAATTGATAAAAGATGTGAAAAAAGAAAGGAAGACCATAAACAGAAGGACGTCCTTGGGATTTCAACTAAAGTTCTGTGAATAAGGCTCCCTCTAAAAGAAACCTTTTCTTTCACACACCTTTATCTTCACTTATGAAAACACATGTATTAGCTTTCCTATCACTGTTATATTCAGCTTTCAAACAGGTACATTTAAATTTTAGGCTAAGATTCAGATACTTGCATTTAATTTCCCTGTAGGTCTCTACATGTGAATATCTCAGGCTGTTAAAATAGTCATGATGGTCTCTCATTTTACTTAAACTGTTCATACTTTTATGATCCCTTTATAATAGAACTCCTGAGAGAAAGTGGAGCTCTGTTGCCAAACATTTCTCACCACAATAAAAGTTTACATTATGCCAAACACTTGATAGCTATAAAACCTGATTCATTTTTTTTTTTACTTCAAAATATAATTACTGGCAGATGTTTTGTAGCCTCAGATATAAATAAATGTGATTTCTTGCAGGATTGATAATTAGTGAATTATGGAATGGGGTCTCATGATCAAAATAGATCATTCAGGCCAGTATTAATTAAATTACTATTAAGCCCTAGACTAAAGATTGAATTAAAATGGCTTTGAATTGTTAGCTCTGGAAATGTTATGTGATACAAAATTGGAAAGACTAAAGTCCATCAGTCACAGAACTGTATCTCCATTTTGATCAAGTGTCCTTTGTATCTTAGAAATGGAAATGGATGTGGGAACTCTTGTGATATTTAAGTGCTTAAAGAAATATTTAAATAAGTGTCAAGATATTGGGATGTGTGTACTCATTATTAGGAGTCTGTATATGGATTATGAAGCTTCACTTTACAGTCATGATCTTTTACAAAACATAACTAGATTTTCAACCTCCATAGAAAAGAGGGCTAGTGAAAAATACAAAGTAACGCAAGGAATGAAGAGGTCAAAGATTTAGAATTAGACATTTTTCCTACCAAGACTTTGGACTAGCCAATCAATTAGAACCCTTTTGAGGTTAGCTGGTATGAATTTGTATGTATCAACAATTTCCAGAAAGGGAGTTCCTTTAATCCACTGAGGAATTAAATTTTTATTCCTCTACAATCTTTCAAGGCATTAATTTTGTCCCAAGCCAAGTGTCTTGGCAATGCCAATCGAAAATGCAAGACATACAATTAAAAGGGACCTAAGAACTAGCATATGTGGACCTAGTGGCTTTAAATTTAAGATGGAAAACTTATATTGTGGTTCCTGTGCTCAGCACAAATATATTGAATAATAAAGATTCTGAAAGTAAGACATATTTTTATGGCTGGGTTGACTTGTATTTATGGCTTTTACAATATGCATCATTTTATAGCTATATATTAACATTTATTTTGGGAAGTACAGCTATAATTAAATTTTACAGCCAATTAAGTTGATGTCTCACTGTCATCCAGTTAAATTAGTATTTTAGATTCTTGAAACAATTAGATAATACTCTTAGCAGCTTTGTTCCTTGTATAAATTTAGGAAGAGGAAAGATAGTCTGTGGTTTTAAGAAAGCTTAAATCTTATACCTTTTCTTAGGAGGGAGGAAGCCCAACCACATTATTGCATTAGTTCAGTAATTAGAGAAGGATATATTGTGTTAATTAAATAATAAACTTGTTTCTAATTGATGTCACAATGTGATTTATGGGTGTTGCAAGGGATTAAAAAAAAAAGATTATGTTGCAAATAAAGAGGTTAGCTATCTGTTATCAGTACAGTCAAGAAAGTAGACCTTTGAATAATGAGTTTTGAGTTTGACTGAAAAATAATCCTAGAGAAGTGGACTTAATATATTTTTTCCTTAATTGGATATCATTAAAGATTCATATCCTATGTTTCTACAAAGTTCAGGTTGCATAAATGCTTGTCAAGAAATTTAATGTCAATGTTATTTTAAGTATTATTTTTAATACTTTGATTCCAGAAAATATGTGTCTCAAGCTAAGCAGGGTCAGACCTGGTTAGTACTTAGATGGAAATCACCAGAGAATATCAGCTTAGTAGAATAAAATGGGATGAAGGTAAAGACAAATTACTTCCATATTGTTGTCAATAAAACTACATGGAAACTATATCGACCATTCATGAAATCATGATTCATGGAATCAAGCTTGAATGAAAAGGGATATTACTTTTAAGATATTTTAAGAGTCTCAACAGGTGGCAACACCATCCTGACTTTGGCTGTTCTTGAAAAAGCTTAAAAGGGTCAGTCCTAGTTAGTTTTAGATAGAGACCACCAGAAAATTCGAGGTCTGTAGACTAGACTTGGACATTAAAACCATATCCCAAGAAGAAAACAATGGTATTCAGTTCCATATTGTTGTCAAGAAGACAACCTGGATGTGCACCAAGAATCAAGTTTGAGGCCTGATTACTTTGATTTTCAAGATGTATCAAGCAGAGCTTTAATGTTCAGAGCGCAACATAGATGATTTGAGGTGTCTTCCTTTAGTTAAACAATGTGAGAAAGCATGACTTCTGGAATTCTTTCCGAGTCTTTGGTATCAGCTGTACCCTGGGTCACATAGCCAGGAGGAAAAGTTTAAGAATGGAGCAGTCAGCAGTGCAAGGTTTTCCCCAGCTGTGTCTTCCATATGGATGCACTTGAAATATATTTTTCTGCATGATTCCTCTCCCCTCCCATAATTTCCAGTCTGATCTGTCCTACTTTCTTTTGCCTGTATCTGTTGCCATACCAAAATTGCTCCTGTACTGTTCAGTTTTTATAGTGCTATCCTGCTAACAAAGTCCTGAGCTCCTTAACATAATTTATTCCCCACACTCCATGCTTCCCACTGTATATATGCACACAAAACACACAGATGCAATATGTTACTTGGTTAAACAGAAGAAAGTGTAGGATCAGCCACCCCTGGAAAAGGGATTGGTAAAAATTTCCAAAGTCATGCTCTGATTTAATGTTATATATAGCATTCAGGGTCAAGGTTAATTCAATGTAACCTCAGGCTACATCTGATCTCATTCTGACAACCCTTGTTCCTTTTGTGTTTCCACTTCCATGCAGATAACTTCATTTCTGTTTTTTGTTTTGCTTTGAAGGGTTTACTGATGACATTGGGAAGTAGTTCTGTTTGATTTCCTATTACAATTATGCTGAAGCTTTAAGATTTACAAGATGCATGTTTGTGACTAAAAAGGGCAGTGTTTACAGTGGAAGTATTGGGATACAAACCCTGCATTTCCTGTATTTTTAGTGGTGATAAAAAACAAACATGTTTTCCTTCTGAATGATTTTCGATCTTTTAAGTAAAAACATTTAAGATGACATTCAGCATGTAGGCATAATGTACAAGAATGGATGGAATGTATTTATTTAGTCCGAATTATCTAATGTTTAATGAATATGGAAACATAGGAGGGGAGTTTGGAGATTTAATTGCACATAATGAAACCTAGGCATTTCCACTGTTTCCTACCTCTCTCTCATTTGAGAAGTTAGCTAGTTTGAACTTGCTTACTGTAGCTTTGGATTTAGTTAACATGGGGAATCATAGTTCCAAGCTTTCCCAACTGTGGAAGGAGAGCAGAAAGTATAACTTTGCCCTTCAGACATGAAGAAAATACAAACTTTAGTTCCTGGTTTGCAACAAAACATGATCCTGATCATAAACTGAGCAATGGTCACTCACTAATTAAAGTATGTATGAACATACTGCTAATCTATTTCACACTGATATAAAATAGGTAAATATCATACACAATCACTACAATTACGTATATATTGCAGGCTGGAACTGAAGCAGGTTTTCTCAGAAAATATATTCCATAATATAAAGTAAAAGTGAAAACAGTTGGAAGTAGAGGGCATTTCAAGTGGGTTTAATTGAATGATAGACCTATCGTGTTGGAGAATGCATCATCTCTTTGCACCTATGATCTGTTTTGACCAAGGGCAAAGAGAGATGAAGGTAAGTATCTTCATACACAGTCCCTGTTTCTGTTTCTTACCTGGCCTACTGTTAATGAAATTAGTCTCTTTGTTTAAGAGAAAAAAAGAAACACTTTTTTTTCCTTCTCCATCTTCAAAATGTGGTTTAGATAGAAGTGAGGCTTTCCTATCCAACACATTTCTTAATCTAATTTGTGTGGGTGTGTGCGCACGTGGGTGTGCACCTTTGAGGCAGTTTTGACTCTTGGCAATTGCCTGGGCAAGTCCCTGCAGTTTTCTTGGCAAGATTTCAGAAATGGTTTGCCATTTCCTTCTTCCTAGGGCTGAGAGAGAATGACTGGCCCAAGGTCATCCAGCTGGTTTTGTGCCTAAGGTGGGACTCGAACTCATGGTCTCCCAGTTTCTAGGCTGGTATCTTAGCTACTACACCAAATTGGCTGTCTAATCTAATTTTTACTTCAAATATAATGAATATCTGTCAGTATTCACCAATAGCTGTGCTAAGCCCATACTCTGGATCCAAGACAACTGTATTATGAACATTTTCCTTTTTCAAAGGATTTTCTGCTACTTAATTACCTAGCATTATTTTAGCAGCCCATCTATACTCAGGAGTGTATAGGAACTGTGCTGAATTCTAACCTCCAACACTTTGTCATTTTCTATTTCTGATTCTAGGAACACGAGTATCTGAAGACTGGGAGGCAATGATACCAAAACAGCAGATCCAATGGGGTAATCAAAGCCCTGCCCATTTTTACATGCATGAGATATATATGTCATGTGTTAAAAAGGGGCAGGACTTGATTACCCAGTTGTGCTGCCATTTTGACATCATTGAACCCTTGTGTGGACAGCTGGACCTAGAAAGCACTTATATTAATAAGGTAGATCCTTAGTGGCATCTTTAGTCATTTACCTGGTAAACATCAGTCTCAAAAATAAATGAGTTGCAACTGCCAGCTACAATGAAAAAGTATAATTGTGCCTTTATAGGTCTTCTATTCATTTGTTGGGTTATGCCTTTATTCTCAAATCTGGTTTTAAGGTCCTGATTGTGTGCTGAATAATATAACTAGTAAGGGTGGTGAGCATAAAACACATGACTTCTTAGAGTACCACAGCAGTCACGGAACTCCTTTTCAGTTCATTTATGCTTAGCCCTGCAGTAGATAACTTTAAGAAGAGCTTGAAGGCTTCTCCACTAACTTATTCTTCAGCACTTCCTTTAATTAACAATGCGATTAGCTTGGATGATTCAGAGATAAACACTTCTGCCTTATCCTTAAGTGTATCAAATATTTGTCTTCCTAATTTGCTTTTTTTCTGGGCTTTGAGAATTATACTTAATGTTAATCTGTATCAATTATGCATGGCCAAGTATTAAACACAAGCACAAATATAATACTTTAGACCTATATTTTAATTTTTGCATAAGGATATCAGCAACTGATACCATAAATTGAATAGTGCTATGCGTCCAAATTCTCCCAAAATCTTAAAATGTGAGCAATCAAGATCACTCTGTAAGAAAGCCATATGCAGGCCTCAGTTTGTATCGATAATAGTTTTTGTTTAGAACAGTGTTTCTCAACCTTGGCAATATGAAGATCTATGGACATCACTCTCATTATTCCTCACCAGCCAACACTGGCTTAGAAGTAACAAACCATAAGGTATTCTCATATAAATAAGACTGAAACACACCTTGCTTCCAATGTGGTATGCTAACCAGGAAATAGATGTAGAGAATATGAAGGCATTCTGTCCTTTTAAATTAAAATTGAATGATATGAATGCTGTAAAAAAAAAAAGTATAAATATAATTAGCCAGCTGTTCAGCGAGAATCACTAAGCTGAAAACAGAGGGTTTAGAAACAATATCCTGAGTAGGTTCTGTTTCTTAAAATAGTTCCTCCTCCCATCACCTCATTTATAAGACAAAGGTTGGAAATCTGATGGCAAATACACTAATCATATTTCTAACAGGTCTGGTACATTTTTGTGATAAAAATTACAGCATTCTTCATCCAGTGGCCTGAAAATAATCATTTGCATGTGTATGGGTGGTGTAGATTTGTTTAGTCACATTTAATGTGAATTTCATTTCATGTTCTCTTCCCAAATTAGTACTTGAATGAAAACTTAATAATCTTTGATTATCATACAGTTCCAATTCTTGAACTTTCTATACATTTTCTGCTGAGGAAGACTGTCTAACTTAGATTTGTATGTTGTTTTACACTAGTGTTTTTCAAACTTGGCAACTTTAAGATGTGTGGACCTCCCAGAATTCTTTTCATGCTGGCTGGGGAATTCTGGGAGGTCCACACATCTTAAAGTTGCTAAGTTTGAAAAATACGGTTTTACACAATACCAAACAATAATTCTACCCATATTTAATCCCAGTAGCTTTATAGGATTCCTTTTCTTCTACTACCAAAATAAGTTGTTGCCACTTTTCCCAGCTTCTTATTTAGCAGGTGAAATACATTGTGAATATTAACTGTGTTGAAGCATTCAATCTGCCAGGGACGTGTAATTAATTTTGAGTTCAGAACCTTCTTGTACAACACAGAGTATTCAATACATAGATTTGTGTCAGCGTCTGTGCTAGCAAACTGATTTCTTATCTCTCTTCTTTTTAACAGGGTTGGAACGAATTGCAAGAGATTCTGCTTATGAACAAGAAGGAAAGGTTCAGTTTGTCATTGATGCTGTGTACTCTATGGCATATGCATTACACAACATGCATAAAGAGCTTTGCCCTGGATACGTTGGACTTTGTCCTCGCATGAGTACAATTGATGGCAAAGAGTTGCTTAGTTACATCCGGGCAGTAAATTTTAATGGTAAGTTCATGCTATTTTTATCTGTGCTAGATATATTTTCATCTACAATGAGATACTTTGAAGCTCTTTTCAGAAAGAGGTCTTCTCCTCGCTCTCACCTCCCTCCCTCTCTCTCTCCCATTTTTTTTTTTTAAAAGGGGGGGTACTTTTTCACTTGCTCAGAATCTCTATTTGTCTTTGTTCTTTTGAAGTTGATATTAAACTTCGTTTGGAAAAGGTAGATATTAAACCTAAGTTTAATCTAAGTTGAGCCAAATAGATGAATGGAAAATTGCTCCTCCAGAAGCAAATTATGTAGTCCTTCTATAACTGTGATAGATAACGTATTCATTAAGGAAGAGAGAGGCAGAGATCATGCACTCTTTAGTTTTAATTTTTGTAACCTAGCTTAATAATGTCTTTGTAGATAGAAAATGTTTGAAGTTAGATCTATAATTACTGATAGAAGCATCACTTCTTTCTGAATCTTTCCTTTGTGTTATTTCATTGCTACACATTTAATATGCTTGATTTATCCTGGGTTACTATGGATAAAATGTTGGCTTGCTCCACTCTTTGCATGCAGAATGGAAACTGATTAGGAAGGAATGACATCATAATATTCAATTTGTAGTGTTGGTTTCCTGATGGCTTAAAATCTCAGCTTGTTTGACAGTAATAAATCAGGGATTCCAGGATTCTAATAGGCAGACTTTTTCTAGGTAGTTCTATGTAGTTAGTCTGATTTGCTTACACAATGGGAGAAGAAATGCAGGCATGAACAGGTTATATGTATTAGTATGTTGCTTATTCACAGTAAGTCAATAACCCAGTTATTACTGTTCTGAGCAAACAGCTATTATGTTTGACTTCAGCAGTTGAGCCAGAAACCCTGCATACTATTGAGGATGCTCTCTCACTTCTAAGCTAAACTCTATAAATTATTGTACAGCTGGGATCTCCATATGTAATAATGTTTATAGAGAAATGTTTAATATGTATTAGGCTGAAGAGGACAAGAGGAAGGTGAAATAAAGTTTGTCAAGGCACCTGCGTCCTCCTGAAAAATCATTGTTGTCCTGCTGCTGGAGTGTGTTTTATACAGTTTTCAAAGGGAGAGGCAGGATAATCTTTATAATATTATTCTTTTTTGCCAGACATGCCTGCAAACCATGGGTAGAACAGCACTGTTAGATTATACTTGACTGACCTCAGCTGCCAGCCTTCCTTTAAAAAGCACAGGGTCATTTTCAATTTAGCTTCCAAGTGGAAACTGTTTGGCTTCAGGAAAAGCATCAGGGAAAAAAAGGAAAATCTCCAAACATTTGGTCAATAGGCACATTTGCTGCAGTATAAGTATCTCATGTTCCTTTGGTTTCCCTTTTGTAATTTCCACACAAGGAATGTTAGTCTTTACATAACAAATGAAAAATAGCAAGCATGTGTTGTTCAATGCTTTTTCAAGATTCTTCCACATCTCATTACATTCAAAATATTGTGGGTTAGATCCAAATATAGCTGATTTTAGAGAAGATCTGTTAATTCATGAATAACTTAATTGATTTTTTTGGTTTCAAGTTTCAGTCTGTACCCATCTTTACATTAGCATGATTTTGGTATTATTATATTTCTATATGTTTTATTGCATTGGCTCATTGCTACTGTTCTGTTGGTTGCCTACAGTCTTTTAACATTAGGTGGACACGTATCATCTATCTATCATCTTTACAATATTTGTGTAGCCCAATTCAGTGTGAAGATCAGTGGGATAAGGACTAATTTCTGAGGTTAAGATATACAGGAAATGTTTTCATTTGGTTGCTATATATATTATCAAATTTTGGATTGTTTATGACTGATACTTAAATAAGAATCACTAACATGAGCACAATAGATTTCAAACAACACTAGAAGTAATTAGAGTTATTTAAGTTAACTGAACTCTTGTTTTACATTAAATATGCAGAATCCAAATATTGTACAGTGCCTGAAATAATAATTATTGACAGAAACTGCTGTTGTTGTATTCACACATGCAAGCATTTAAGTGGATACTTTATAGCTTTATACTATCAGATGTGGGGGAGGATATATTATCTTTGGTGAATAAGATAAAATTGTGGAGTCCTTGGTGCTCTCTGTGCTTGGTTGTTTGCTTGCAGACATTTCATAACCCAACTAGATAATCTCATCAGTGTGAGCACGTGTGTGGTTTGCTCCCTGTTTATATACAGATAAAATTACCATACAGATAAAATGATTATGTGGATCAAATTTGAACATGAAGTACACTAGGAGAGTGTACTGTTTACCTTTTGCTTTGAACAGCCAAATGTCTCAGGGTCAGGTTCTAATTGCAGTACTAAGAAGATATGGAAAAGTTCCTCCACTGGCAGTGTACCATCTATTTCCTACTAGAAGAAACTGGTAAATAAAAGAGCTGCCAAAAGGTACCAGATGGAATATATATTTACTTTTGCACGACTAGAAAAATCTTCTATAGCAATAGAGGTGATTCTTATTCACATCTGAGAAGATCTGAAGTGCTTTATGGTTGGTTTCAAAATCACTTAGTATCACTGGTACATCTTCCAAGTCTAAGTACAAGTTTATAAAATGAAGGAATTTATTTAAAGGTATTAAAAAATGGCATATGCTAACCTGAACATTTGGATCAGGCCCAGAGTGGCATTTCTGAAAATTTAAAATACCGCCTTTCTGTTTGAAAACATCTCCTTTCTGTTCTAGCCAGTATGATTTTTACTGTTTTAATATTGTTTCCTAATCTCTTGCAATGATCTTGAGAAAAATGTTTGTCAAGCACAGGTTAAACACATGCAGTGATAGCTCTCTATGCCTTTTATTTAAAAATTAAGTATTTTTTCACAAATGACCTGGAAATTATTCTTTTCAGCCTGTTAAAAATAAAATCTTAACTTTGTTATGGATATATTTGAGTATCTGGAAAGAAAATGCAGTAGATTAATAACTTTAAGTGAAAATTTGTATTTTGCATTAGTTTCGGTAATCAAAGTGCAACTATTTTTAATACCTCTTGTTTACTTGTATGTGTATTGCAAAGAAAAAGTTATTCTGCCAGTGGCTTCATCCATATAATATTCTATGACACTTTCATGACAGCACAGTAATATTTTTCTCCAAAGCAGAGTAAACCCATATAATTGATATGACACTGAAGTTTGTTTAGTTGTGTTTCCAGAGCATACAATTTAAACCAGGAATATCTTCTCACTCAGTGCAGTCTTAATGGGGGTAGTACATCACAGCGTGTCATGCAATAAGGGTACAGAGTGGTTATTCATCATTTTCTAGAAATAAATTCAGACTCTTATGCTATTACTTTTGATTCTGGGGCGTTGCACAGTCAAACATAAAGCAAAATGTAGTAAAAACAGAATCAATTTTTCCTTGTATATAGAAGTATTTTGGGGACTAATTCCATTCCATATGGAAACATGGACATTTTCAGTTTCTGTACTAGATTAGAGCTCTTTATTGAATTAAAAAAGAGATGGCAACTCTTTAGAACCATATAACATAGCCAGACCATGTTGACATTTAGCTGCCTGTGCCCTGGGTTTGCAGTAAGTGGGAAAATACAGTACAAATGAAATTGGCTGGTGATTTGATTCAGAAATATATTTGGTTCCACTGATCTTGTTTTAAATGTAATAGTGGCTACAGTGTAGGGGAAAGCAAGTTTGTACATCGGGATTAAGAGAAAATTTATAAGTTATATGATTATACTGCAGGTGTCTGCTATATCTGTCAGGAAATACGGTTAACGTGGGCAATAGCAGGAAAGTAAATGCTTTGGAACTCCCAATCTGTCTTGTGAACATAACTGCACATTGTCAGTAGACTCTGAACTTTTTACAGTAATTCCCAGACTGTTAGGGAAAGGCTACATATTACACCGTTTTGAGGAACATGCATAAATCAGTCTTTGTAGAGTAATTATAAGGAGTTAGTGATGGAGGGCCCACCTCCTGAAAAATACACTGTTTGAAAAGTAAAATGAAATAGCCAGATTATAACACAGTGTGTTTATTTAACACAGGACACTTGATCTAGTAGTTCCTTTACAAATTTGTTGCTTTCCCTCATAAAGTTGGGAACTAGAATCTAGAGTAAGGATACATTTTTCAGCCCTCATCCTTTTGCCATTTTTGGACAGGGTTTTGGTAGGATTAAGGGAAAAAAAGGCTTAAGTCTTATACATTTTTTTCTCTAAAACCTCCTCTGAAAGTGGGTATTGGCTTTTTAAAGCACAGCCCACATTATGCTATAAAATGCCTTTACACAATTAAAATTGTGGCTTTTACACAATTAAAATTGTGCATTTCAGCCCTAGATGTTGCTGTATGTGTAAAATAATATATAATTGGTCACATTCAAATCCTGGACTACCAGAATTACTGTATGTGCTATATTTATGTCTGGCTTTCCTTCAGCAGCTATCAGCAGCATCTTATCCCTCTACTCTGTCCCTGATCTTACTGTGTCCAGCTGTTTTAAAGTGGAAAGAACATGCAATAGGTGTTTTTTCTGGAGGCAAACAAATGTCAGATCCTAAACATAGTGAATCCAGAAGATGTGATCTTTAATCCCAACTCTAACAGATTCTTTCCCATCACTGCTAATTATATACACACACACACGCCACTTGGATCCATGCTTATTGATACATGAAATAAGCTTTGAATGTTCCATCTCCCAGAAAATCCAGTGACATAAGTCCCAGACTGTAAGTATTTGGTCAGGATACCCTAATCATCTTGAAAAGGGTTATTCAGATATGTCTGACACTGTAGGATTCCTGTAGCTGAGCACACATTGACATGGTCAGCTTCTATGTGGGAATTCTTTCTAATCCCATATAATAAAATATATACTTTTAAATACATAGTTTTAAAAGAGAAAAAACAAATGAGTCTAGCGTATCTTGGTTCTAGCAAGACTGAAGTGTTGATAAGAGTTAATGAGATAAAGTAAAATAA